CATATTTCCCACCAGACCATTATAAATCGGTAATCATTCTTATTTCAAAGTGTTATAGAAAATTCCGTCCCACCGAAGGAAGTCTGGGTTGTATTGGGGCGGGACTGGAGTCCTCTCGGGGTTCCACTCAGCCATTTCGAGTGGATGAAGCGTGAATTGTGGCTGCCGGAAGTGTCCAATCAGGAGCGCGCGTCTTCGGAGCTGTTGCCTAATAAGGCGCTGCATCTTCCTTTCCGGTGCCATATTTGGTGCTAAGCTAGGCCTCAGGAGTCCTCGGTGATTCTGTGTCCTGTGACTGCAGGAGCCTAGGGACAACGCCGGGAAGGCGGGAAATGGTGAGATTTCGGCCGGGGTCGCGGGGACCAGAAGGTAGCGGCGGTGGCCTTGCGCGAGCCCCGGTGTGCGGTCCGCGTCTGCCGCCGGCTCCGCTCGGCCCTGGCTCCTCTGGTGGGGCTGGGCCAGGACGTCACTGGCGTCCGTCCCCTTTGTGATGTAAGCGGCCACCTCGGCCACCCGGAGCCCTGTGGGTAGCTCGATCCCCGCGTGTCCCCAACGCCGTGGTGACGTGGTTATGGGCGGCTCCTGCCTTGCGCGGGGCTCGTGCGCGGGGGCGCTTGTGGGGGGGTCCCGTGTCTCTTTCTCGGTGGCATCCTGTTTTCCTGAGTCTTCAGGGTCGAGGAAGCGTCGTGTAAACCGTTTTTAGTGGGTTGTTGCAGCAGGGGAGCCCCACGTGCTGGGTCCCCAAGTCTTGTAGGGTGAGGCAGAGGAGGGCTGTGCTTTGCAGGGAAGAGCAGCAGGAGTGGGAAGCTTGTAGGGAGAGGTACAGCGTCAGGTTCTGGACCAGAGGGCATTGTTCCCCCGAGGTCAGCGTGTCCTTGATGTGAGAATAAAGAACTGGTTGTTAACTGCCTGAGGCCAAAGGTGGTTCCAGGCCTGGAGGAAGGAGAGAAGCATGAGGAAATTTTACTTTTTAAATGTGAGTTTCTCCTGATCCGTGCAGCTTGGCATTTTGAGGCAATTGTGGAACCTTGGAAGTGTGTCTGGCACTATTGAAGATTAATAGAAAGAGGGGGCACTCGAGTAAGTGTAATGGGAAGGGCGTTTGCCTGCACTTGCCTGCTGCTTCCCAGCAGGAAGTCTTGGGCGGTGGGACTTCTTTAATCACCGCTGTTTACCAGGATTACAAGCTCTGGGCTAAAAGTGAATTATCTCCAGCTCTTTGTTTTGCAAACATTAAGAGCTAGTGTCGTCAGACTGTAATTTTTCCCAGTTGAGAGTGAGAGGGGCGATGGGGGAAAAGGACAGGGGAGAAAAGACTGTATTTGGGTGTTGATGTGGGCGTTTAGTATCATAAATTACTTTGTGTACCAGAATAGGAATAGGAGTGGCTTTGTTTTTCATAAGCCATTTACTGCTGATGAGCGAGAGTGTTGTCTGACCTAGCAATGTGTTTAACCTTCTGAGTTGGGTTTCCTGGTGAAATGTGGGTGAAGCTGGCTGCGTCCCCTGTAGTATTTTGTTTCTGTAAATTAGCAAGTTTGCTACTTTTCTGTCTCAATAAACTGTCAGGTTTACTCACTAGATGGGTGCTGTATCTCTTGAGCTATGCCTCCAGCCTTTTTGCCTGGTTATTTTGGAGATAGGGTGTGGCTTTTTGCATAGGCCAATATGGACACCATTCTCCTAATCCATGATTCCGTCCATAATTGGGATGGCAGGTGCACACTACCACACCCAGCCTTTTCCCGTTGATATGGGGTCTCACAAACATTTTTTTGCCTGGGTGGACTTGAGCCACCTCCGCGATGTCAGCCTCCCAAGTGTTCAGGATTACAGGTGTGAACAACTGATGCCTGGCTAATTTTTATTTTTAAATTTATTTTTAATTAGCATAAATTGTCCAAATAAATTAGCCATAAAGGAAATGCAAATGAAAACCACACTGAGATTCCATCTCATCAAGAAAACACTGTGGAGCTTGGGGGAGGGAGGAAGGAACCAGCATGCACTGTTGGTAAAAATGTAAATTAGTCCAGCCACTATGGAAATCAGTTTGGAGGAAGCTCAGGAAAGTAAAAGTAGAACCACTACATGATGCCACTATACCATTATTTGGTATATAACTGAATGGATGTATATCAACACACTGAAGAGATTCCTGCACACCCATGTTTAAATTGTCCAAATAAATTGTGATATTTACAACATGTACATAATATACTCTGATCAGGTTCACCCTGTCTACATTACTCTTTCTTAATCCCCTTGTCTCCTCCTCCTTTTAAACAGTTGATAGGTTTTATTTTTATTTATTTATTTATTATTGTGGTATTGAAGCTTGAACTCAGGGTCTTCACCTTGATCCGCTCTGCCAGCCCTTTTTGTGATGGATATTTTTGAGATAGAGTCTTGTGAGCTATTTGCCTAGGCTGGCTTCAAACCACAGTCCTCCCGATCTCTGCCTCCTGAGTAAACTAGGATTACAGGTGTAAGCCACCAGCGCCCAGCTAGTTGATAGGTTTTATTATGCTGTTATACATATATATATAATGTACTTCTGTGGTCTTCCCAGTCTCTTCATGCTGCTTTTCTCCATCTTCTCACTTGATCCCCTTTCAACAGTACCCTGTTTACAAGTATGTCATATTAATATTATATTCCTCAGGTCTGGACTCTGTATATGAACAAACACATGGGATATTTGTCTTTCTGAGCTTGGATTATCTAACTTAACATGATTATCTCCAGTTCTAGCCATTTCACTGCAAATGACATAATGACATTCTTCTTTATGGCTCAATAACACTCCTTTGTATATAGGCACCACTCTTTACCCAATCTCCAGTTTGGGGAATCAAGGCTGCTTCAATAGCTTGGCTATTGTCAATAGGTGCTGCTGTAAACGTGGGTGTACAGGAATCTCTTCTGTGTGTTGACATACATCCATTCAGATATATACCAAATAATGGTATAGTGGTATCACGTAGTGGTTCTATTTTTACTTTCCTGAGCTTCTTCCATACTGATTTCCATAGTGGGTGGGCTAATTTACATTTTTACCAACAGTGCATGCTGGTTCCTTCCTTCCTCCCCCAAGCGCCACAGGAACCAGCATTTATTGTTTGTTTTCTTGATGAGATGGAATCTCAGTGTGGTTTTCATTTGCATTTCCTTTATGGCTAAGAATGTTGAACATTTATTCATGTGTTTATTAGCCATTTGAACTACTTCTTGTGAGAACTGCTTATTCACTTAGTTTGCCCATTTTTAAATTGGATTATTCATTCTTTCAGTGTTTAATTTTTTTAGCTGCTATATATTCTGGATATTAATCCTTTGTCCAAAGAATAGCATGCACAGATTTCTCTCCCTTCTGTGGGTTGTCTCTTGATTCTGGAAATTGTTTCCATTGATGTGCAGAAGATAATTTCGTGCAATACCTTTTGTCAATTTTGCTTTTATATGCTGAGTAGTTAAAGCACTATTTAGAAAGTTGTTGCCTATCTTCAGGTGTCTTCCCTTTAGTTTCCAAATTTCATGTCTCTCTTTTTTTTTTTTTTTTTTTTTTGGTGGCACTGGGGTTTGAACATAGGACCTCATGCTTACTAGGTAGGAATTCTTACTGCTTGAGTTACTCTGCCCTTTTTTGTGATGGGTTTTTCTGAGATAGGGTCTTGGGAACTCTTTGCCTGGGGCTGGTTTAGAGCTAAGATTCTCCTGATCTCTGCCTCCTGAGTAGCTGGGATTACAGGTGTGAGCCACCAGTACCCAGCAAAATTTCAGGTTTAAGTAAAGATTTTTCATCCATTTTAAATTGATTTTTATACAGGATGACAGAGAGATCTAGTTTCAGTCTTCTATTTGTGGGTATCCTGTTTTCTCAGTACCATTTGTTGATGAGACTGTCTTTTCTGCAACATATATTTTGGCTCTTTTGTAAAAAATCAAGTAGCTGTAGCAGCATGGCTTATTTCTGGATCTTTGATTGTATTACATTGGCCTGCTTGTCTTTTTGTGCCAGTACCCTGTTGTTTTTGTTAATACAGTGTTACTAGTAGTATTGAAGTCACTTATTGTGATATCTCTGGGCATTGCTCATTTTGCTCAGGGTTGCTTTGTCTATTCAGGGTCTTTTATTCTTCCATATGAAAGTTTGATTTTCCTATTTCTGTGAAGAATGACATTGGGAATTTGACGAGGATTGCATGAATCTGTACTTGCTTTCTGTAGTGTAGACTTTTTCACTGTATTAATCCTGCCAATTCGGGAATAAGGGAGGTCTTCCCATGTTGTAATGTCTTAAGTCAGTTTTTTCATTCAGTGTCTTACCATTTTCATTGTAGAGGTTTTTCACATCCTTAGATAAGTTTATTATTTATTTATTTATGCTACACTGTGGATTGAACCCAGGGCCTGGTGCATGCCAGGCAAACTCTCAACCACTGACCTAATTACTTAAGTTTATTCCTAGTTTGTTTTTTTTTAGACTTTTCTGAATGGAACATTTTCCATGATTTTTTCCCTTGCCTGTTCATTGTTGATATACAGTGAAGTTATTTTTTATATTGTTGAGAATGTAATTCTTGATTATGCCTCCTTTTGTTAATGCACATTTTTTTTTAACAGAATGGGAAAGTAATTGCTGGTTTTCAGATTATGGCTAAGTTGAAAATTACTGGGAAAGTTTGATAGTATGAAAATTTATAACCTAACTCTTTATGGATGTGTTTTTATTATATGATTTGTCACCACTGGAATGATCTAATTTCATTTTTGTCTATCTAGGGTTAAACAGCATATCTGTGTGAATTATGTCATGCATTATTTTACTGTATCTAGCATTAGGTACTGTCTTTTCTCTTCCTTCATTCCTGTCTTTCTTAACAGTACTGAGGATTGAACCCAGAGCCTGCCACATGCTCTTTACTCCTTGAGCTATGCCCTCAATTCTTTTGTCTTTATTTTTTATTACGGTGTGGCTACCTTTGCCTAGGCTGGCCATGGCATCCTTTTGCCTCTGCTTCTGCAGTAGTTGGGGTTACAGGTATGTGCCACTATGCCTGTTTTTCATATGTGGTCTCTTATGTCATTTCAAATTGCTTCTTTCTGTTTGTCTGTCTCTCTCTGTTTTTATGTCTCTGTCTCTCCCCCTCTCTCTTTTTCATTTTACCATTCCATTTTCCTTCCCTGCCTCAATCTATCTCTATGGTATATAAATGTGTTTTGTTTTAAGATGAAATCCAGTTGTTTATTAGAGTCAATATATAGCAAAATGGAGATTTGGCTCAAGGGGGTAGAGGGCCTGCTTTGCAAGCATGAAGTCTTGATTTCAAACTCCAGTCCCAAAAATATAACAATAAAAAATTAAGATCCTATATATAACAAAATCATGAATTTTTATAAATTAAAATGTTAATGTTAATGTTAATTAAAAATGTTAAACCTTGCTAAAATCCATTCATTATTATGCCCAGGAGTTTTTTTTTTTGTTATTTCTTTTGAATTTTCTACATTTTCTCTCTTTTCTTTTCTTCCCAGTACTGAGGTTTTATTTCAGAGCCTCGCATTTGCTAGGTAGGCACTCCACCACTTGAGCCACTACACCAGCCCTTTTTTGTGTTGGGTATTTTCGAGGTCTGGCCTCAAACTGCTATCCTCATTGATCTCTGCCTCTGGAGTACCTAGGATTACAGGTGTGAGCCCCTGGGGCCTAGCCTGTAAACATTTTTTTTCTTCCTTCTCAAGATGTACTGTCATTTTCATATATATTCAAGGTTTTATTTTATTTATCTTTTCTGTGCTGGGCATTGAACCCAGGGCTTCCTATATGTTAAAGAAGCACTCTACCACTGAGCTAAGTCTCCAGCACCCAGTTGCTTTTATTTTTTGGTGGTACTGGAGTTCGAACTTAGGGCCTTCCACTTGCCAGGAAGGTACTTACTACTTGAGCCAAGCTGCCAGCCCTTTTTGAATTACTTATTTTTCAAATAGAGTTCTGCCTGATCTGTATCATATCCTCCCATTTATGGCTCCCACCCAGATGGAATGATAGGTGCACCACTGTGCTCAGATCTATTGCTTGAGATGGGGTGGGGAATCTCTCAAACTTTTTGCCTGGGCTGCCCATGAACTGTGATCTTCCCAATCTCAGCCTCCAAGTAGCTAGGATTATAGGCATGAGCCACTATGCCATGCTTTTTTTTTTTAATTTGGGGCTCACCATGTATCACTTGGTACAGGGTTGGAGATAGGGATCTCCTTTGTGTCTTCTACTTGTGGACATCCAGTTTTCCCACTATCATTTGTCTAAGATGTTGTCTTGTCTTCAAATATGTTTGTGGTGCATTTTTTTGAGGATCAGGTGGCTGTAGCTGGGGGTGCCTCCTTCTGATGCCTCTATCCCATCGGTTTGTGTATTCATTTTTGTGCCAGTATTATACTGTTTGTTACTATAGCTCTGTAGTCTCATTTGAAGTCAGGTATATTGTGTTTCTTCTAGCCTTGCTCTTTTGGTTCAGGATTGGTTTGGCCACTCTTGGTCTTTTGTGCTTCCCTATGAATAGTAAGATGGAGTTTTCTATTTCTGTGTAGAACATCATTGAAATTTTTATGGAGAATGAATTGAATCTTTATTTTGTTTCCTTTTTAAATTTTGAATCTTTAGATTACTATTGGTAATATATCTATTTGACAGTTTGTTTATTATTTATTTTGGCAGAAGTGTGGTTTGAACTCAGGCCCTCACACTTGCTGGGTAGGTGCTCTATCACTTGAGCCACTCTGCCAGCCTGCTTTTTTGTGTTAGGTATTTCTGTGATAGGGTCTCTCAAACTATTTGCTTGGACTGAATTCAAACTTTGATCCTCCTTATCTCTGCCTCCTGAGTAGGTAGGATTAGAGGCATGAGCCATTGGCCCCCATCTGACTGTTTAGATGACAACCATAATGGAACTCCAGATGAGTTTCGTTCTGTTGAATATTAAGTTGTTGAAGGAGAGAGATTCTTTAGAGGGATGTTGGTCTTCCAGAGTTAAACCCTTAAAAGGATATGCTTATCCTAGCGAATGTGGGTTTTCTTTGTGACCTTGGGTGAAGCTGCTTGCTTATCTGAGCAAAAATAACATTTGTTTTTACCCCCTGCTTGCTTGGTAGATTATTGCTACCATATGGGTGCGTTTTTCTGCTTGCAGTGAATGATTGCATTCCTTGTTACCATGTTTTCATTTACATGGGTACAATGGGTAGATTGAGACATAAGGTGAAAAAATCTTGGCCAGAAACCAAATACCATACATGAATTCCTCAAGTGTGACATCAGCCCCTTCATCCTGTTCCAGAGCATCAGCCCTGCCATAGGCACCCCTCATTCTCTGAGGTCATGGGTTGTTTCTTATGGGCTGACTCTAGGTGGGTGTTTAGTCACTGGAAACTATTGAGCTTAGGGCCCAGGGAAGTTTCTTGATTCTGAGAGGAGGGAAAGCAGTATTTGAGGAGGCCCTGCAATAAAATTTCTTGGGTTGCTCAGGTTTCCATCCATACTCGTGAGTGAGCCTCCTTGGACTGCACTGTACTGTGAGATTGGACTCTGAGTTTAGGAACAATTTTTTCTACTGAGTATGGGTTCCCTGTAGCTGTGGGTGAAGCAGGCTCCTTCCTGCAGATCCTTCACTTCTCTGTTCTCTGTATAGTCTTGTTTCTATAGAATACCAGTTTATTTAACCATTTCAGAAATAATGATTTTCTTGGCTTGGGATCTGAGTGGATAAATGATGAGATCTGAAGAAGCAATGGAAATACTTGACGTAATTTGTTTCACAGTTGTTGGTACTGTGAGATGAACTCAAGTCCTCAGCTTGCTAGGCAGGCACTCTAGCACTTGAGCCCCTCTGCCAGCCCTTTTTTTGTTGGTTGTTTTTGAGATAGCGTTTCACTTTATGCTCTGAGTTGATCTGGACCACCATCCTCCAGTTTGTGCTTCCCTCGTAGCTGGGATGGCATTCTGCCACTGTACGCAGCTGTTGGTTGACATGGGATCTTGCATATTTTTTGCCCCCATGATGACCTCGAACCTCAACCCTCCAGATCTCTAACTCCAAAGTAGGTAGGATATAGATTTGAGTAACCATGGCTGGCCCATAGTGTTTTCAATGCATGCTGAAGATTTCGCCCAGGACTTCACACAAGCTACGAAAATTCTCTACCATTGAGCTAAATCCCCATCCTCATAGAAACTGAAATAAGAATATAAACATAAATGAACTCACCATATAGTTAAATAAGTAGGCCACAGTCACTTGTGGTATATCTCCCCGATCTTATTTGGCTCCATACCTAGAGATGGCCAAAGGATGCTTTTTTCTTTTTCTTTTTTGGATATTCTTTACAGGTTCATCATGTACTTTACACTAAGCAGAGTTTTTCTTGATTATGTTTGTCTTGGATTTTTAATGAATAGTATTAATTCATTAAAATTAATGCTGAAAAGATTTTTTTTTCAGTGTGTTTTCTTTGTTTCAGTCTGTGGCACGTAGGATGACTGTAATTCAGCCAGTTCAAGTTCCTTGTTTTTAGTGTTGCTGACAATATTTTTTTGATTTTTGATTTTTTGTGCCCAGGAGGTGTTTTTTTTTTTTTTTTTTGCAGTGCTTGATTTTTAACTCAGGGCCTCACAGGTGCACTCCTACTTGAGTCATGCTGCCAGCCCTTAACTTTGTTTTTGGAGTCATGTATTTGCTATGTAACCCAGGCCGACTTTGAAATAACATTCCTCCTACTCCATTTCCCCACGAATGGGATTAAAGTACAGGGCACTGTAATATATTTTGTTTAATATATATAATTTTTTTTGGCTGTACTGAGGTTTGAACTCAGTGCCTACACCTTGAGCCACTCCACCAGCCCTTTTTTGTTTCCTTTTTTCTTATTGGCAGCACTGGGGTTTGAGCTTAGGACTTCATGCTTGCTCTTATCACTTGAGCCACTTCACCAGCAACCAGCCCTTTTTTTGTGATGAGTTTTTTTCAAAATCACGTCTCAAGAACTATTTACCTGGATTGGCTTTGAACCACAATCCTCCTGATCTCTGCCTTTTGAGTAGCTAGGATTATAGGCATGAGCCACCAGCACCTGGCTCTTTTTATATCTATACATATTTTCTTGTTTTATATACTTTTTTTTTTTGCTTGTTTTGGGTACTGGAGTTTGAACTCAGGGATTTGGGCCTAATAGGGCTGGTCATAACCACTTGAGTTACACATCCAGCCAATCAGAAATTTTGTTTTTGTTTTTGGTGTTACAGTGGATTGAACCCAGGCTCTGTCTATGCTAGCACTGTACCACTTTTGTTGCACTCTGGATCATACATTTTTTAACAGAATGGGAAAAATTTGAGTAGATTATGGTTAAATTCCAACTGTGCACTTCTTTACAGTTACCCTGGTGAGGTAGATCCTAGACACTAAAAAGAATGACATTTGTTCAGAAGCATTTGTAAGAATATGCAGTGTCAGGGCAGTTGTTATTGACTCCCTAGTGCACACTAAGTACAAGGACTTTGTTATGAGAGGTGCTTCACACTTAGTGCACAAGGAAAAGTTGGAATGATCCAGCAGCACATGTGTCTTCCTGTTCTGCTGTTACATTACCAAATAGTTCCAATCTAGTGTCAGAATTGCCGTGTGAGAGGACATATGAATGGAGAGTAACAGTATGATGACCAGAACATGGAGTGAACATTTGGAAAACACAGCACTGTATTAACATACTATGAATGAGTATATTTCCAATACTATGAGTCTCACCCTTCCTCGTGGAAATTCTGTGGAATATTTTAGGAGTCAGTGACCTTTCAGGATGTAGCTGTGACCTTCACCCTGGAGGAGTGGCGTTTGTTGGATTGTTCCAAAAGAAGCTCTACAGAGAAGTGATGCAAGAAACCTTCAGGAACCTGGCCTCTCTAGGTAAGGATGACATCATTGCCTTACTTAATCAATCAGAATGCAAGTGTTTGTTGTCCATCCATGCTGTCCTATGAGGGGAAATATGGAAAGGAAACATAAGCATGGTCCCTTTATCCCTTGACTGTAGCCGAATCTAAAAATGTTATAATTATTCATAATGAGAGTTTTGATTTTTATTTTAGGAAAAGGAGAAGATGACCAGAGTACTGAAAATAACAACAAAACTCCCTGGAGAGATGTAAGGTAATTTTCACTACAAGAGAACACAGTATCTCTCAGGAGCTGTGGAATGAAAGGAAGTATTTTTTTAAAAAGCAGTTGAAACAAATAATCTCATACTCGAATTGATTTCTACACAGAAAATTTTCTCAAAAATTGCATATAGAGCCAGGCACTGGTGGCTCATACCTGTAATCCTTAGGAAGCAGAGATCAGAAGGATCATAGTTTGCTACCAGACCTGGGGAAACAGTTCTCAAGATCCTACCTTGAAAATACCCAACACAGTAAAGGGCTGGTGGACTAGGTCAAGTGGTAGAGTACCTGCCTAGTGAGTGTGAGGCCCTGAGTTCAAATCCCAGTACCACACACCACAAAAAAGGTATCTCATTATGTATGTGCAAGTATTTCAAAATCCAAACCCAGTTTGGTTCCCAAACTTCCCTATAAAGAATACTGTTTTTAAATGTCATATAGACATTTAGTGCATTCAGATAGTTAAGTTGGAAACAGTATTAGGAAACCAGATATGGCCTAGGGGCTGTGGCTCTTGCCTGTAATCCTACTTTCTAGGTTGAAGTGGGAGGATCACCATTCCAGGCCAACCTGGGCAAATAGTTCATGAGACCCAATCTCCAAAAAATAACCAGAGCAAGTGGAGTGGAGGAGTGACTTAAGCAGTAGAGTACCTGGTTTGCAAGCCCAAAGCTCTGAGTTGTAAGCCTCAATCTGGCTAAATAAAAAAGGAAAAAAGAAGAGACCTTATAAAAATACCAATGTTTGAATAATAGCTGTCTTCAAACCATCCCCAAGTCCTTCAGTCCATTCATGTTTAAAAGCTCTTTCAGGGAACAAGCCAGTGCTTCTCATGATATCATTAATAAACAATCCATTAGTAATTTTTTTTTCTTACAGAAGTCATACAATAGAAAGACTTCCTGAGCATAAACAAGGTGGTCAGTGTGGAGAAATCTTCAGTCAGTCTACAGATCATATTCTCAACAAGAACACTCCTACAGGTGGATCACCTTGTGAAAATGGTGTGTGTGGAGAAGTCCTCACTGATCATTCATCTATAAATGTGCCCTTCAGAACTCATCTTCAACACATATCATATGAGTATCAGGAATATCAGAAGAAGCAGTATAAACATAAGGCACGCGGGAAAACCTGCAGTTATCTCCAGTCCTACCAGAAGCATGAAAAGGCTCATATTGGAAAACCCTATGTCTGTAAGCAATGTGGAAAAACCTTTAGTTCTTACAGATACTTTCAAATACATGAAAGGCATCACAGTGGAGATAAGCCCTTTATGTGTCAACAATGTGGGAAAGCATTTAGTTCTTCTGCTTATGTTCAAATACATGAAAGATCTCACAGTGGAGAGAAATCCTGTGTATGTAATCAATGTAGAAAAGCTTTCTGTCATCCCAGTTTCCTTAGAAAACATGAAAAGACTCACACTGGAAAGAAACCCTGTAAGTGTAAGCAGTGTGGGAAAGCCTTCATTTGTTCCAGTGACGTTAAAAGACATGAAAAGACTCACAGTGGAGAGAAACGCTGTGTATGTAACCAGTGTGGAAAAACCTTCACTCGTTTAAGTGTTGTTAGACGACATGAAAAGACTCACACTGAAGATAAACCATATGTATGTAAGCAATGTGGTAAAGGCTTTTGGGATTACAATTACATTCGACAACATGAAAAGATTCATAGTGGTGAGAAATCCAATGTGTGTAAGCATTGTGGGAAAGCCTTCAGTTCTTCCAGTTATCTTAGAAGACATGAAAAAAACCATAGTACAGGGAAACCCTGTGTATGTATACAATGTGGCAAAACCTACTATACTCCCCGTTCCCTCAGGATACATAAATGGACTCACACTGGAGAGAAACCCTTTGAATGTAAGCAGTGTGGGAAAGCCTACTCTGATCCCAGTTCCCTCAGACATCATAAAAAGACTCACCCTGGAGAGAAAGCCTATAGATGTAAGCAATGTGGGAAAGCCTTTAGTCGTTCCAGTAGGCTTCAAATACATGAAAGGACTCACACTGGAGAGAAACCCTATGTATGTAAGCAATGTGGGAAAGCCTTCAGTTATTCCAACTACATTAAAATACATGAAAGGAGTCACAGTGGAGAGAAACCTTATATATGTAATCAGTGTGGGAAAGCTTTCATTTATCCCAGTTCTCTCAGAAGACATTATAGAACACACACTAGATCGTAACTGGAAATATAGACGGTGTGAAAGCTTCACTATCTGGCTTTTCTAGGTGCCAGTAAAATGCAGAATGAAGATAACTTTTAACTACATAATGCACATGGGAACATTCCTAGTTAAGAAGACACCTATAAAGAAACCTTAACATACAAGGAATGCACAAAATCTTCAGTTGTCACTTGTGTGCAAATAGACATTCATCAAAATCCTGTGAAATTGAGAATTAGAAGAAACCTGTCAATTGTAACAAATATGTTCAAAGTCTTGTGTAAATTGCTCAAGTAGTGAATCCTATAAATGCAAATAATATGAAGACCTTAATACAAAGTAATTTATGTAGAATACTTCCAAAGTATGCCACTAGAATGATCTAAAATTCATAAATAGTTTTTCCATAGCTCACCTTAAAATAGAACTTTGGTCTATGTATTTCTAAATACACACATAAATAAATAAATGTTGAGGTGACATGATTTTGCATGTTTTCTTTTAGCAATAACTTATCAGTTTAATAGGTAGTATCTTTAAAACCAAATCAGGTAATAAGTTTTTTGCCTTTTCATTTTGAATTTGTTGGCTTTTGCCTGAGTTGAGATGTATTTGTAATATGACTGTATATAATATTCTTCTTCAGCAACACTGGGGTATGAATTCAGGGCTTCATACTTATTAAGCAGGTGCTCTTACTGCTTGAGGCACTCCACCAGCCCAATTTGTATATAATTTAAAAATAATTTTTGCTTAATAGGCCATGTCAATTGTTATTTTCCTCCTGGCTTAACATGGTACTTTTTTGTTTTCGGATGGTACTAGGGTTTGAACTCAGGACCTACACCTTGAGCCACTCCACTAGCCCTTTTTTGTGAAGGATTTTTTTTCAAGATAGGGTCTCGAGAACTATTTGCCCAGGTTCAAACCAAAATCCTCCTGATCTCTGCCTCCTGAGTAGCTAGGATTACAGGTGTGAGCCACCAGTGCCCAGCTCATGGCACGTTTTTAACTGTTACCTGTACAGTTTCTATTGTTAGAACAAATGAGGTTTTTATGTATATATATATAATTTTTTTTGTGGGTGCTGGGGTTTGAACTTAGGAGATCATTTTTCTTAGGCAGGCGCTCTATCACTGAATCACTCTGCCACCTCTTTTCTGTGTTACATATTTTCAGGATAGGGCCTTGCACACTATTTGCCTAAGTTGGCAAATAGTGATCCTCCTCATTTCTGCTTCCCATGGAGGTAGAATTACAGAAGTGAATCACTGGTGCCCTGCTTGTATTTTCTACTTCTAGATGTATACTTTCTTAGCTAAGATTTTTATATGCATTTTTCAGACAGCTAAACTATTTCCATCCAACATGTAGGTTAAGAAACATTTTTTTAAATTTTATGTGAAGATACCTACAAATATCCCATCATATCCAGAGGGGATAGTAAATTTACCGTGTTTGTTCTTTGTCTTCAAGAGTCATTGTTATCATGACTTTTCTTCCTCCTGTAAATTGCTTACTTACATTGTTAAAATTTTTTTGTTTGTCTTTTGTTCTTTACTCATAATAACAAAGACACATCATCCTGAGGTGTGTGTTCTCCTGCCATTGACTACTATGAACATGTCTTTTGTCACATAAGATGTAATAAATTAAAATGAATCTCCCCACACACCATAAGGGACTGAGTGATTCATCACCAAAAGCAGTCTCCCTAGAAGCTCTGACAAGATTTGGTGTTAGTTCTCTGTAGTGAGTAGTCTCAAGTTTTAGGGACAGATGTCTTTCTTTTATCTTCATCCATCCTCATCATTTAGGAGGGTCATCTGCTCTCAGTGGTGTGTTATATGATGCTGACTCCAGACTTAGGGTCTTTTTTATCTGTTTTGAGTTACTGTGAAGATAACTAAGGCATTTTCTTCAATGCATTGTACACCGTTCTGTATAAATACAGATGTTCTTCTTTTTTCTTTTTCTTTTATTATTCATATGTGCATACAAGGCTTGGTTCATTTCTCCCCCCTGCCCCCACCCCCTCCCTTACCACCCACTCCGCCCTCTCCTTCTCCCCCCCACCCCCTCAATACCCAGCAGAAACTATTTTGCCCTTATTTCTAATTTTGTTGTAGAGAGAGTATAAGCAATAATAGGAAGGACAAGGGGTTTTGCTGGTTGAGATAAGGATAGCTATACAGGGCATTGACTCACATTGATTTCCTGTGCGTGGGTGTTACCTTCTAGGTTAATTCTTCTTGAACTAACCTTTTCTCTAGTACCTGTTCCCCTTTTCCTATTGGCCTCAGTTGCTTTTAAGGTATCAATACAGATGTTCTTAAAACTTCCAATCCCGATAAGCCTATGGTAAGATAAAAATATCCCAAGTTGAAAATGCACCAGTGTAACTTATCTACTGGATAGCAAAGGTAAAACCAGCCTTCCAGGAACATGATGAAGTCTCTCACATTTTCCCAGTCTATTTATCATGATAATGTTAATATATCATGCTACTCATTGATTGTAGTATACAGTATAATACCATTTTATGCCCCTGAGCATTACATCCGCTGTGTTGGGAGCCCAATGCTGTTGCCCAGCATCAGAATATCTGATCTCCTGGCAAGAGAGCAAACTTTGAAAATTGAAGACATTTTGTCTGAGCACATCAATTAATCATAAGACACACCATTATAAATTGGTAAATGTCCTTGCCTCAAAGTATATAAATGAACTTCTGTGGCTGAGTGTGGTTTTCCATGCTTGTAATTCCAGCTAACTTAGGGGTGGATCTCAATTTGAAGCCTACCTGGACAAAAGACCCCATCTCAAGAAATAACCTGGGGAATAAAAAGAAATGATAGAAGCTAGTTACATGAAGTGCAGTAGTAGCACCAGATATGCACATGCAAAGATGGGAGGATTGTAGTCTGAAATGCACTGGGAAAAATGTGAGACCCTATCCAAAAAATAGCTAAGGAAAGCTAGGTGCCAGTGGCTCACATCTGTAATTCTAGCTACTCAGGAGGCGAAAACGACTGGTGGAGTAACTCAGTGGATAAGCGTACCTGCCTAGCAGGCATGAGGCCCTGAGTTCAAACCCCAGTGCCGCAAAAAAAAGCTAAAAGGTAAAAAAAGGCCGGTGGCATGGCTCAAGTGATAGAGTCCCCACCTAGCAAACCTGACATCCTGGCAACTCCAGTATTACTCCTTGTGTTTAAAATACATCTGCTTAAATGTCTCCTTTAAAGGGAAGCAATATGTGTAAGTGAATTTTCAGAGTACAGCCTAGGGACAGACAGCCTCACTTTTGTTTCAAGCTTTTGTTGCTGCAGTGATAGGCATGAAGAAAGTCAATTCATGACCCCAAGCCAGCATTGCAGAAGGTACTTAAAGGAATCTTATAAACAAAAGAGGAAGCAAGACAGTCACAAACCCAAAAGCTCAGAAAAGAATACATTTAATGAGAGTCAGATGAATTAATGAGAATTAGGGAATAAACATGAATTGCCTCTTAAAGGTGCACTGCATTAGTATATAAAAGACGATAAGTATGGGGTCTTTTGTGTCTGTACATAGTGGTAATGCTGACTACAATGGGAAGCCTCCATGAGCTTGCACAGATAGCTATCAAAGAATTTAGTATTTGAACCAATGGCTTGATTTTAATCATGAGTAAAAAACCTGATTTCTAATTATAGACAGTTGTCCCTGATTACTGGGAGACGAGCACACTGCAGAAACAAGATTTCGTATGAGCCTAACAGGAAGGGGTTACAAGTGGTGAGTTTTGACATCGTGGAAAGGCAGAATGGTCAGATTTGGGAATGACTCCAGAGATGGAGTGGACAGGGTTACATACATCACAGGAGTCAGCCTGAACTGCTTTTACCACATTTTTGCTACTAAATGTATGGGGTCCTTCTGTTAGGTAGAAGTTTGCCAAGAGTTATGGGTGAGGCAGGATAGATAGATGAGACAGGAAATTATATTAAACTCAGACGTTAAAATTTAAAAGAAAAAATAAAAAATCCAGAACAAGTAGCCACTGCCTCCAAGAAGCGGGCTATCTACATTCTAGGCTAGCTGCATCCTCCTTTCTGTCTTTGAGATGTTGCCAATGTCCAAGGCACCTTGGGTGGGTGGAGGGCCAAAAAGAATGAAAGACATGCCTAGCCAATGGGAGTCCTAAAACCCAGCTTTTGATCCTGTGATTTGAATAGGACTAGAAGACACTTTCCTGTTTTAGCAGCTCTCTCAGCCACCCAGATCCATTATATTTAAACATGTGTATTCCTTCTGCTATCTGAAAATGTAAGACTAAGAGATAAGAGCCACAATTTTTAGTCTTTACTCCTATTTCCTGCATGGGGAGCATGAGATATCCTTTTTTCCCCCATTTCATTATACTTTTATCCTGTTACACTAAATTCCTTCCTAATAAAATTTACTATTTTACTACATTTTCACATCTTGCTCAATACCCTGGAGTAGATGGGTTAAAAATCCCTGCACTCAGCCATTTCACAGGCTATTGCAGCTCCTCTCACCTGGCGAAGCTCAGTTTCTTCTCCTTTCCCTTAAATCAATTCCATATCTTTGCATTCACCCTTTATTGTCAGTGGATTTTAAAAAATTTCTTTTATTCATATGAGCATACAATGTCCGGGTCGTCTCTCCCCCACCCCAGGCCCCTTCCCTCTCCCCTACTCCCTCCCTCTCCCCCTCACCCCCAGCCTCCGTGCAGAAACTGTTCTGCCTTTATATCTATGGATTTCATTCTTGAAGTTCACAGGACAAGAACCCAAGAGGAATAGGTGGCCGCCCTCTGTTAAGCTAAAAGAGCTGTGACACTAAAAGGCATAGCCACGGGCTTCACCTGGAGCAAAGAAAACCAGTCTCTTCTTCAGTGTTGTGAACTGTTGATTAACCTGGAGAGGGACAGAGGCCTGAGGACAGTAACTCCAAGCTGGGGCCCTCTGAAGCTTCAAAGGGAGGGCAATGAAGTTCCCCTTGGTGCTTCT